TCTCCGTTGACACAGCTTCAAGTTTATTCTTTCTTCTGCTGTATCTTGTTTGTTGATGAGCCACAAAACATTTCTTATTTCTGTATACTGTTTTACATTTCCAACACTTCCTTCTGAGTCTTTCACATGGTCTCTGTCTCCTTGTTACACTTCCTACCTATTTTTGCATGTTGTCATCTTTTTCCACTAATATCTTTAACACATTAATTAATCATAGTCACATTCCCTGGCTGGTAATTCCAAAATCTGTATCGTATCTGAGTCTGATTCTGGCACTTTGTCTTTTAGGTTGTATTTTCCTGCCTATACTGTAATTTTGTTTTTGTTGTTGTTGAAAGTTAGACACAATCATAGGAACCAAGGTAAACAGCCCTTTAGAGTGAGGTCCTCTGTTCATCTAAGCAGGAGTGGGTCTCTGCTGAATGTTTACTGCAGCTACTGGCACCAGAGGCTTCCAATTCCTCCACTCTCCTTCGTTTTTGCCTCCTCTATCATGTATGGGCTTCACTACAAATTGCTCTTGAATAGTCTATGTCCAGAAGCTCTTTCAACTGTAGCCTCGCAATTATACTGGACCCCAGGAGAACCTAGTGGAGTTCCTGAATTGGAACTGCAATAGTGTTCCTCCTAGACAAGATACGCAGGCTCTTGCGGTCTGTCAGAATCACCAGTAACCATTCCTATCAATATACATACAACACCTTTTGTTCCCAGGAAAGAGACCACACTGCGATGGTCTGTACATTTCTGCTTCTCAGAATATTGAGGTGGCAGCTTGCCCTACAAACTCCAGTTCTCTAGCAGGTCTAAGAACAGTCATGGATGTTCAGTTTGTTCAGCTTTTTTCTTGATTTAACAACAATAATGATGACTCATAAGCTCTTTCTCTTTTGGAGCTGAAACTGGAAGCAGGCAGGACATTTTGACATAAATTATTTGATAGGATTGTCATTGACTTTAGAGACACTGTGATATTGTAAGTTAAAGCACTCCACTTTTTATGGAGTGATGTACTGTATGTCCTTGGACCTTTGAGCTCACCACTAGCTTCGGCCCTACCTGTCCCTATTTTGCTCCTTTTCCTCAGCTCCCATTTCAAATGGAAGGAATAGGGTTCAGAACAGAGAAAGAAGGCTCTTTTTTTTTTTTTTTTTACCCATTACTTGATAATCAGAAAGCTAAAAATAATCCACTACAAAATGGCCTTGGTAAAGTAGCTCTAGTAAAACATCATTTTTCTTGGGGTGGGACAGGATACAGAAAGGCATGAGCTTAAAATTTTATAATTCAGTAATTTTTAATTTAATGGAAAACTGCATTTTGCTGAGATACTGAATTCTTGACTTCTCAATGTTCATCTCAGATTTTCAGTGTTTTTACTCCTTTACCATTTAATCCTCTATGCCCAGATCCTCTTCAGAACTGAAGGATGTGGCCATGGAGCCCTTTAACACTGAACAAAACAAATTACCTGCGCTTAATCCTGGAGCAAGCATATGTTGCCTTATTGGTAAACATCAGCTATATCTCTTGGCATGGATGTCTTCCCCAAATCATAAAAATTATTCACCCTTAGCTAGGCATGGTAGTGCACACCTATAATCCCAGTACTTGGAAACCTGAGGCTGGAGGACAGAGAATTTGACGCTGATCAGAGCTACATAGTGAGATCAAGGCCACCCTCGACTACGAAGTGAGACCTTGTCTAAGAAAAACAAAAAACTTAGACTTATTCAGTGTTTATTGTCACCAGAAATTTTGATAAATGCCTTATATACAATGTATCTTATTCTTCTTCACTATTAACCTTTAAATCAGAAAACTGGATCTAAACAAGACAAAACATGGAATTTACCTAATGTCATACAGCTAGTTCATGATGAAGCTAGTCTAATGTTTTTGGTTTTTTCAAACCAAAACATGCATACTGTTCTCTGCTTTCCATAGCGTGTTCCTCTCAGAGAGAAGAACTTAGGCATGTAACAAATACCACTAGAGATCTTGCTTCTACCTTGGTAGCTGCTCTTTCAAATCCAGTCAGCCTGGATACACTTCCTTACCTTCGCTTAGTGACTGTAACTCCCAGAAGGCAGAGACTATGGTCCATTCACTAGTGAGTCTCCTAATAAAGCAAAAGTGTTTGTGGAAATACGAAAGAATGAGCAAGTCACCAGCCTACCAATGAATGAATGAACTCTCAGTAGGATGACTAAGAAAGGTGAGACACCTTCCCAAGCACTGTAGAGATTTTCACTGATGAAAGTTTCAGTGGGGCAAGGACTATATTGGTTTTAACTAGCACACACCTGGCACATATTACATGTCAGAGGCAGTTCGTTCAAGAACAAGTAGCCCCATGCTTTGGAGAATGATGGTTTCTCTCCACCAGCCTATGGCCTTTCTGGATAGTTCCCAACTTACCCTTCCTAACATCCTCCCCGTCTAGAACATACATAGTTATGGTGACAAGGAAAAATAACCTATAAGTTAAGCAAAGAAATATTGGGAAGGATTTATGTGGCTAGAATCCTGCTCTGTCACCATTGGGAGAGATTTAGAACCCATCCTCTTCCAGAGATAAGTGTAAGAAAGCCAAGAGAGTAACCCAAGGTCACCTAATTGCCCATTCCACAGACAGGCCCAGAATCCACTGTCCCTGCTGCCAGTTCAGTGTTTGCCTCCATAAATTCATGCTGACTCCATCAGAGCAAAAACAGTAAATATTAAATACAGAACGCAACACACTGTCATGTTTTTGTTTTGGTCTTGTGTGTTATTAATAATACCCGCAAAAGAAAACACCCAAAACTGTGAGGAAAGGCTCACCACCACCACCTTCTGGCCCATTATTGGCAGTGAACCCAAGCATCGCCCTCCATGGCCACAGGAATGAAAATTGACGGGAGGGTGGGCTTCAGATATTTCACTGCTGTCCCCACACCAACACCTGGAAAGCTCAGTTGTGGTGTGAAGTAAGATAACATTGAATATATAACCCTATGTTTAAAAACAAAGTCATAGAACTTGGACTTTAATCATAAAGATCATTTTACCAAAGCATATTTTTAAAAGGCTGTGAAATCTTATGCAACGTTTGCATGGTTTAATTATGAGTTTAGAAAACCCTAGCACAACTTTTCACTACAGTAAAACATGACAGAGCATGAATCATAGCATAATACTTTATGCTTAGTGTGGTTTTAGACATGGGGTTAGGGGTGCTAGGCTGTCTACACAACAAGCATGAATTACTATACCACAATTCACACCCTGGAGGGCTTTATGACAATTATAAAAACCTCTTTTGTTTGCTTTCTAAGTGATTAAAATATCTGAGTACTATATAGGCACTAAGTAAATGTGTATATAAGACATACACATGTCTTACAGACAGTATCTGACTAGGTGATTTTTTTTTCCACTTGGAGCAAAATAGTTCAAGTACCATGGGAATACTGAGCTGTTTGCCACTCGTGTTGCCTCCATCGTTGGGGACACTATTGGCTGTCACATTGCACAGGAGTTTCAGGTGCATTTGAGCATGTTTTTCTCTGAGTTTAACATGGACCAGCTCTTTATTCCTTGCCATCTTTTCAAATCCCTTAAAATGTGGGATGAAATAAAGACCTATTATCAGATTTCAATGATTGTAAGTTAAAATATTTGCCCATGAACTACAAGGTTTTAGAAACGTAAAAACTCAGTGGTTTTCAGGAAAAGAAAGGAAATAAATGGATCAGTATGAAGGAGAAAGGCAAGCTACCAGAAGAGTGGGAAGGGAGATCTGATCCCCAAATGTCTAATTAGGTTGTCCATTGTGGCAACTTCAAATAGATAAAATCACATAAACTTCAAAAGTGATAAACTGCTGAAAAGGCAAAGCCTGGAGAGCGCAGATCTGAACACTTATGAGCAGGAATTATTCATTTCTTTTATGTCATGGCATATACAAAACCTACACCTAATTTTTTTCTAGAGAAGTCTGTTCTTTCCAGATTGCTATTCCCAGGCTCATGACACTCTGATTATGAGGAGACCTTTGGAAACCACTGTAGTCTGCTGCTGCTGTTGTTCACAAAGAATGTGGGACCCCAGGAGAAAATTAATGTTTAATCCTAAGGAAACATAAAACTGTCCTTAGTGAGTACAGTGTATGATTTAAATATCACTGCACATTTTACCAAGAATGCAAGAGTCCCCTAGCTCTTTTCATCTATGACCTGCGTAATGCATTTGAAAACTAAGAGACTTCTGAATGTTGCAGTCAACTTTACAAAATCCATTTTGTCTAAATCTTTTGAAGTCAGACTTTTGTCTCTTATCTGTCCCAGGCCTCTTATAATGACAATAAAGAAAATCCCTGTTTAAAAAAAAAATCTGCCCTGTAAAGGTTGCAAACTTCAAGCCTTACAGAAGGGCAGACTGTCTGGTCATTAAGCTCATTGCCAGCTGCCCTACCAGACTTTCTGTGCTGTCCTTGGGAGACTGCTCACCTTACCAGGATGTAAAAGCCCAAGGAATAATTTTACCAAAGGTACAAAAAATAGCAAAACTCTTACCTGCTGTTTGCTTGCTGACTAGTACCTGACAGACAGGTAACCGCCCAAGTTTACAAAACCTTTCTGATAGTGATCACTGTAATTACTGGTAAAACTGAAATGGTAGAGCAGCCGGAATGTGAACTCTTGAGTGCTGCAGCCCAGTATTCCGAACAGGAACGTAACCCATAAGCCACACCCTTCATTGTCTTTATTAGTGTGATTGAACAGTTATCACATGAAAATCTCTGAGAATCACATGTAACTTGCATTTCAGAACCTTTTAGGACACAAATCACTCAACAGAGGCAGATTCTTAGGCCCAGTTAGGCTTATTATACTGATAAACAGGTTACATCCATATATATTTAAACAGAGGTTGGCAGTTTCTTCTTAAACTATGTTTTATTCTTTAAATCTCACCCCGCTTGACCTATAACTGATTTCTTTATTTCTCTGCAGATACTAGGCAGATCCAGCCATCCCCACCATGGTCCTACGATCAGTCCTACCAATACCTGGGATCCATCACCACTCCTTCCGTACATCCCGCAACACCCATTTCGCCTGGACGTGCCAGTGGCATGACAAGCCTCTCTGCAGAACTTTCTAGTCGGCTCTCAAGTAAGGCTTTTGAAAACATATTTGCAGCATATCTGCAACATATTCACCAAGGGAGATGTTTCCAACTACCTGCTGGGGTGAGAGGAGCAGCATGGAAAGCCCAGGTGTCATGTTTAGCATAATTGTTGTTAATGCGAGCTCATTAAATATTAGTCATTTAACCTGTAAGCCCTTTGGGTTTTGCATTCACCTTTGCTCAGGCGCAGGGAAATCAGTGTTACAGAGAGAAATTCCTTTGTTGAAGGCAAAAGAAGAAACTTACTGTTTGGGGCTTTGAAATCGGAGCCGAACCGAACTGTGAGAATAACTTCAGAGCATAACTTCAGAGCACTTCAGTGTTATGAGGCCTGCACACCCGCTTGCATGCGTGTGGGGGGAGGGTGACCATTCTCTCTTTTCTTGGGATCAGATCATAGCAGACTAAGGGGCAGGGAAAGGGGCAAAGGAGTCATGTCTGCCATTTTAAATGTTGTGAAATGTTGTGTTTTCCAGACAATCGTGATTGCTTGACATTTCACAAGCTACTTTAGCTGCTGATTAGAGAGAGCTTCACTGAATGCTTTCTCAGAGCCACTCAGCAGCAGCACTGTTGATATTTGTTTGGTGCGAATAACTTTCTTGCAGAGGGCTGTCATGTGCACTATGGAATATTTTACAGCATCCCTGGCTTCAAGGTGCCAGGGGCATCCCTCTCCTGGATGTGACAATCAGAAACATCTCCAGACACTGCCACAAAACTTTCCCCAGTTGAAAACCACTGTCTTCAAATATTCCATGCTGCTACAGTGAAACAGGAAAGCCAACTTAAGTGTTCAGTTTTCACATTAGTTTTGACCATCAATGCCAGCATTTTCATGGCAAATGCTGTAGGAAGTATGGCATCCATTCAAATTGTGGTTTCTCAAAACTCATCCTTTGGGAACAGAGTTTGATTCCAAAGGAACTTGTCAGGTTTTACTGATTCTTCCCTGTGGTGCTATTCTCCCCACTAGCTATGAATGGTCTTCATCTGAAACAATTACTGTTTTTCTTGGAAATGTCCCTGCTAATTTTTTTTTTTTTCTGGTCGGTCCCTAGGAATGTATTTTGTAAGTCCTTTCAATTTGCTGCCACCCAGAACTGGCACCTTATAGTCCAAAAACCCTAGGGGTCAAGTTCCTCCAGTGCACTAGTGTTCAGAGAGAAGGGAGGCTTTAAAAACAAACAAAAAAGGAGTAAGTACCATGTGTACTTCAAAATTCCAAATCACCGTTAGGCTTCTCAATAACCTGAACTTCACTTACCCAAGGAGTAAAAGACGCATTATGGTATGTGAATGTGACACAGATAAAACTTAGGCCCCATTTCAGCACCCAAGAATGATCCTGTGCTGCCTTGGAGGGAGGACCAGAGAATTCCAAAGGAGCTGTCATCAGTGGCATAGAACAGCATGGGAGACTGCTCTTCAACTTGGCAGAACTCCCTCTGAAAACCAAGCCCAGAGCACAGCCCTGAAAAGTGTTGTCCTAAACCTGTGTGTGGGGGTAGGGGTAAAATACATAGAAGAAAGTTACTGCCCAGGCGGATAGCTTTGAGAACCTGACACTGCTCTGTGGTTGCCTTTCCTTTTCATCCCTCCTAGCAGCTTTGTGTGCTGCCCCTCTCCCCACCCCCAATCCCACCTGGGCCCCCTTCAGCATGAGGAGGTGGACTCTGTCTGTCTCCTTGTATCCTTCGCAGACAGACTCCACACCTCGTCTGAAAAGAGTTGTCATCTGGAGGTTTTTCTTTCTTTCTTTCTTTCTTTAAAATTAATGTGTAGCTGCCAACCTGGGCGACAGGCAGCATGCATTAATCTGAGTCATGCGAAAGATCCTTTTAAGGCAGCCATTATCTGCTCAGGTTGTTTAATCCTTTGGGGGCAGTGGGAGGGGCCCCAAAGTGGGGCTGCTTTCATCCCTGTCAGGCTGCAGAGCAAAGACTTGAGCTGTCATGGCAAATATTTAGTCCCTTCGATGGGGAAACATTTCCAACTAAAATACCTGAATCCTAATCCCCAGATTTCCTACTCTTAAAAGGCTCCCTCCTAATATCAGGGGTCCCAGCTCATCTTGCTACTGAGTAAGGAGGCACCAGGCTGGCTCAAAGGATAGATGAGCTATGGCTGGGTGGGTGATTTGCACAGGACTGGTCTTTAATAACCAATATTGGACCAGACATATGAAAACAAATATAGTATCTGAATAGAGCTCTTGAATCTGACAGTACCTAAAGGTATTATCAAATGTGTGCTTAAAAAAAAAGACAATAATCTGACCACAATATTTCAGATCTTTCAGACATTTTGCCCACAAATGAAAGAACTGTTTCCCCAACAGCTGAGACTGTAACATCATTCCAGTACTCATGCCCATGACAAATCACAGACTCACTCAGGATTCCGGTAACTCGGTACCATCACCACATCACCATGTGGTAGTTGCAACAGACTGGCAGAGCATGTCCAGACACTGCTGTGAAACAGGGTGACCTTTCATTCATTTTTCCAGTAGATTCACCTTTTTATTTTAGGTCGAATGAAGCAAGAGGAATAATGGGCAGAGTCATTTGTGTCCACAGCATTGCATCAGATGACAACAAATTAACCATATTGGTCTAATGCTTTTCTTCCTACCTCAGCTTCTCCCTGTAAACCTAACTGGAAAAACATGGAGTGAAGCTTCCTGTTACCTCTCTGACATGTCACAGCTCTCTGTATAAGCAAAAACAAGTGACACAGAGCTTGCTCACAGATGGCACCAACAAGTAGGCAGGGATGAGCCCTGTGGAATGAGGTGCGGCCTGGCTTGAGAATAAGCTAGAGAGGGGCCAAGGAAGGGCAGCCCCAGAACTACTGTCAGTTTACAACTTTTCCCTGCCCACGTGTCTGACTTGCTTTGAAAAGATTAACAGGAGTGTTTGTTTGAAAGTCAGACTCCTGGTTTCCTCATTAGTGGAGGGATTTGCTGTAGACTTTGGCTGTTTCTATAAACTTTAATTACCTCTCTGATGAAGAGTATATCCCCTCATCGCATTCATCCCAAATGTACACAAGAGTTCATTTTTTTTAATGTGTTAGAGCAATAAAAGATCATTAGAGGGAGGGAGAAAGGGAATATGGGGGAGGGGAGAAAGAGAGCGAGCATGCGGGCCTGAGAATATAAGAATGAGAACACACTAGCTCTCCCTGCTGGAATAATAGGCTTAAAATATGAGGAAATTGATCAACAGCCGATGCCTTCCAAAAACCAGATTAATCCACTCTGGTAGCTTTCCATTCAGAGCAACCTTCTGACTCCCTCAAGTTTCTCCATCACCCTAAACTCAGAAGGACACAGGACACATACTGTTTGAGCCTATAGTTATTTTGCATGCTGACTTGAGAAGTTAAAATTTTAAACATTTAATTGATGCTTTTGCTCTGTTCTGTTGCTTTGGGTCTGCTGATGTAACAATTACGTCCTGCCCACCCCAGGACACCATCTTATATCTACCATGGCGGCTCTCAGCTAGGAGGAGGGACTGTGCCTCCCTAATCCTCACTCTCACATTGTTTGGTGATGTCTGGAAGCATTTTGGTTTGCTGCAGTGTGGGGCAAGTGCTCGGGAATCTAGTGTGTGAGGACCAGAGATACTACCAAACAGGTTACAAGGCACAAGACAGCCCCTAAACACCCTACAAAATCATCTGGCCACAAAACGTAAACAGTGCCACTTTCGATAAACCCTGATCTACAGGAGATGGGGGACACTTCCTGGCACTCACACCCTCTCATAATTCCCTAGGGCAGACTGAAAGCTAGAAAAATGTAGAGAGATACAGTGAGCCACAGTGTAGCCAAAGCCAGTTTGTAAAACTGTAAATTTACAGTCCTAACAAAGTAAATTTTATAAGCAAAGGTTTGCCATTCCTGGTAAAATTTCAAAATATTTAAAAAATGAACTGAATAAATCAAAGTTCTATATCCATTTGTGTTAACCAACCAGAGAAACACATATTAAAGAATCCAGATGAAATTAAAGCTGTATGGTTTCTAAAGATTTGGAAACCACTCTGAAGATAGATCTGGGAAACAGATGAGTGATAATGATATTCATGGTCATTCACTCCTTCACTAGCATGACATACATTAAATAATTGAAAATACCCACTTTCAACCAAATGCTAAAACGTGGCATTTGCTAGGATTCAACCTAAATATATGCAATATACTACAACATTTATATTATATATAATCAACTTTATTGGTTAATATAGCAATGTGTCCATTAATTATATTAAATGCCATTATGTTACATAAATCACTATATATTAATGGTGAATATATTAATATACTGGTTATAAAATCAGTATACTAAGTGGTACTAATAACTAATTTAGAGGATAAGTAAAAGCTTTTCAGCAAAGAACCAAGGAACATTTTAGCCATCCCTACAATTCTGTCATCCTCATGCAGTTTTGCAGTGCTAACTCATAAGCAGCTATGCACAATTATAAAAGTGAGGCTGTGTTCCAACTGATATATGGGAAATGAACTTCGAATTCCCTAAAATTTTGACATCAGGAAACACTAATCTGTTTTAGATTTATGCACCCTTCCCAACCATTTAAAAAAGTAAAACTCACTCTTAAGCCCAATGACATGCAAAAACTGGCATCAACCAGATAGGCCAATAGGCTGCAATCGGATCATACCAATATTTTAATCTATATTTTACATTATTTATACTATGCATATAGCCACATATATTTATATCGCTTAATATATGCCACATTACATAATATCCTACCTATCAGTATTATCATCTGCCATTGCTATATATTTTTCTCTCGATTTTCTGATCCATTAGCATTTAGTCCATCTACTTCCTTGGCAAGAGCATTCTGGGTAATTTCTGCATCTTTTTGGGTAGTAGCATTCTGGGTAGTTCCTTCACTTCCTGGGCATGAGCATTCTGGTGGCCTCCATTTTTTTGGGTAGTAGCCTTCTGGGTAGTTCCCTAATTTCCCAGGCAAGAGCATTCTGGGAAGTGTGTCCTCCTTTGGGACAGTGGCATTCTGGGTAGCCCTCGCTCTTTCCTTCCGGACAGGAGTAACTGGAAGGAAGCTTGGAAGGGGCTGCCCAGCTCCCTGCTCAGCTCCCTTCTCACGTGACATCTCCTTTGCTCCGCAGCTGCTCCTGACCTGACGGCCTTCGGCGACCCCCGCCAGTTCACTGCGCTGCCCTCCATCTCCGACCCTCGCATGCACTACCCCGGCGCCTTCACCTACTCCCCAACGCCAGTCACGTCGGGCATTGGCATCGGCATGTCGGCCATGAGCTCGGCCACGCGCTACCACACGTACCTGCCGCCGCCCTACCCCGGCTCGTCGCAGGCGCAGGGCGGCCCCTTCCAGGCCAGCTCCCCTTCCTACCACCTGTACTACGGGGCCTCGGCGGGCTCCTACCAGTTCTCCATGGTGGGCGGCGAGCGGTCGCCGCCGCGCATCCTGCCGCCCTGCACCAACGCCTCCACGGGCTCGGCGCTGCTCAACCCCAGCCTCCCCAACCAGAGCGACGTGGTGGAGGCCGAGGGCAGCCACAGCAACTCGCCCACCAACATGGCGCCCGCCGCGCGCCTGGAGGAGGCCGTGTGGCGGCCCTACTGAGCCTGCGCGGGCCGGGACGTCCTCCGGCACCCAGCCGGCACCGGCCGGCCTCGGCCTCCTCCTGTGCTTCCGAAGCCACGCAGTTCGCTCCGTTGTCGGCCAGCCCGCCCATCTTTCCGGCGGGAAACGACGCGAGGGTGTCCACAGCGCCACCGCCACGTGGGCACGTTGTAAGGCAAACAGGATGATTCCCAGAGGGAAACTGTGAATGCTTCTGATTTAGCAATGCTGTGAATAAAAGAAAGATTTTATACCCTTGACTTTTTAACCAAGTTGTCTATTCCAGAGAGTGGAATTTTAGGATTTTTTTTTTTTTTTTTTTTTTGGTGGGGTGGGAGGGTGGGGACGGGAGCGGGGAGGACACAGCGCATCTTGTTTGGCGTCTCTTTTATTTCTGATTTTCTTTTCTGCACCTTATAAATTGCAAAATGCGTATTTGCATCTGGACGGTTTTTGTTTTTACATATATATAAAAATTTGAGCTTGCTTCTTTCTTGCTTTGACAATTGAGAAATAGAATTCCCATTTCTATAAGTTTTTATTTAACTTCTCTTTGGAACTTTTGTGTAGTTTTATTTTTTATGTTTTTGAGACAGCTACAGCTTTGGGTCATTTTTTTAACTACTGTATTCCCACGAGGAATCCCTAGATATTTATGTATCTTAATATTCAGACAGTTACTTATGTGTTGATACTTTTTTAATTATTTAAATGTACTTATATTAAGAAAAATATCAAGTACTTTTTGTATAGTAGCCAAAGTTAAATATATCACATTGAAGAAGGCTGGAGGAAAAAAAAAAATGGGTAATGTGATCACTTGGTTATCTAGAAATATTGTTTACATTAAACTCCCTTTCATGTTAATTAAACAAGTTGGTAGCTCATGCAGCAATGTTTTAAATAGGATTTTAGAAACTGAGGGCCACTCCAAGGATCAAAACTACAGAATTTTCTGCTAGGCTCAACAAAGGGTCTCAGATCTGGCTTTCTCCCTTCAAACACATGCTCAACTCCGGTCCCAGAAGACTCAGACAGGTGCCAGTGATTACACCTCTGGAAAGGGTTTAATTTCTGCCTAGAGGTATGCTTATAACATGGCCTGGTAATTTCAGACATGCTTTGTAGCAGAACACATCCAGTGTAAGCTGTGTGGAGGAGCAGTATTTACATAGGAACCAAATGATGAATTTAGGAATTCCTTAACCTTTCAATCCTGGGGGAGCAAGAAAATATTTCTCTTTGATATAACATCCATTCATTGATGCAGAACAAAACTTCTAGCCATCCCCCCAAAGTGGGAGTAAAAGGGGGGGACAAGATCAAGTAACATTGAGGGCTGAAAGAATCCAGCTGAATTTTTCAGAGAGCCAGTCCAAAAGCAGGCCTCAAAGAGCTGATTTCTGCCTGCCTGGATGGAATCGCATGGGAGAACATGGTCCCACCTGTGTCGGAAACCCCGTGCCAACCGCTGAACAACACCTTTGTTTTGGCTTCGACCAGGCTGAGACCCTACCCTAGGGGTGCGTGCACTTTCATCTATGTGCACCAGCATGACAGGAAAGATTCATGTCACTGCTGCCCATGTATACAGTTCAAGTATATCCAATGTCACTGTAAATTTTATGGCACTATTTTTATTGGAGGACTTGGTCAGAATGCAGTTTTGTACAACTCGTAAATACTGCTGATTTTGACATATATATGCTCTAAATGATCTGGTTATTTAACGTACCTCTTAAATTAGTTGAAACAATTTCAGGTCAACTCTGAAGAGTGTTTGAAAGCAGGACTTCAGAACAGTGTTTGATTTTTATTTTATAAATTTAAGCATTCAAATTAGATCTTTGGCTGCAGGCAGCAAAACAGCTGGACTTATTTAAAAACAACTTGTTTTTGAGTTTTATATATATATATTTTGATTATTTGTTTTACATAGATGCAGTAGCACTTTGGTAAGAGAGAGTAAAGCAGCTTGTGATGTCAGGTTCTTATCTAGAGAAGAACTATAACATCTTACAGAAACTCAGAATATACTCATTTGTGTTGTAGAAATAACTCCCTCCACAATCAAGTTTCATAAGTTATTCCATATTATATTTTGCAGCTAAACTACAACAAGTGTCAGAAAAATTAAAAATGTAATTTTTAAAATTTCATTTCCCTCAAATTAATTTAGATACTTTTCAGCCCATTACCATATCTGACCAGAGCAAAGTACTGGGGAAAGATGAAGCAAAAGTGTATATTTTTCACCTTAATTCTCGTAGCGAAAGATATTCCAAGTGAAAACCAGCCTAATACCCTAAGCAGGAAGCAAAATAATCTCTCACATCTCAAAGCCTTTATGGAGAGGGCTTGTCACTTTGTTAAAGACCCACTGGTTTGGCAGTTCAGAATTTCACAGACCCTTAGCAACATGTATAGTTTTTAATCATTTCAGGAAAAAAATTCAAACTGTAATTATTTTGGAGGTAGTTTTCACACATTTTTCTCACTAAGGAAGTATATTCATTGCCTTCAGGTAAATTGATGTGTCTGTTTATTTGTTGCTTCCAGGTAAATTAAGGTATCAGCAAGATTCTTAGTCATGTAATAACTGGCTGTATCTAGGAGTTTTGGTTTAGCAAAAGAAAGATTGAATAAGCCATTTGTACTGCTTATTCATATGTTCTAACACAGGCACATACTTTACTTCGTGCTGTCTTTCTATTTGAAGATACATTTTCCTCTCTCTCTGCTGCACCTCCGCTATCTCCCTCTTTCCTGACTTCCTCCTCCAAACTCCTCCTTCTGTGTTCCTGTGTTCCCCATTCTCTGTAAGGAGATAGCACACACCCATCCCATACCAAATGTCCAGAACACAAGGAGGTCCAGTTCTTCTCCCTTTGCATCAAGAACAGGGTGAGTCAGCCTTTCTCCTGCTTATGGGTTTCTTCCAGCAGAACAGAGATGCTGCCAACCGTTTTGGATCTGCTTGCTATCCAAATGCAGCAACAGAACCTTCCTGGGCAAATTATAATCAGTGAGTAAATAGCCTTTCTGCTGCCTATGGTTTCTGTGCAGATAAACAGAAATGCTCTGATTGGAAAGGAAATGAATGGTTTCACTCAAATGTCCTGCAATTAAGGATTGCAGATTTCTGTCTAGAAATACCTGTTTCTTTGGGACATTCCGTCCTGGTGGGGTTTTGTTTTTGTTTTTTATTTTGATGGTTTTGTTTTTTGGAGAATGACATATTTTGAGTCTTTTATACATGAAAAATAGATTGACAGTAATCTCAGAAAAGTTTTTTACATCTGAGCAAAGTACCATTTTGTTTACCCTAGAGTATACATTTGCTTGGGTTTTCATTTGATTTGTTTATTCATTGGGAATTTTCTCCCCTCCCTTCAGCCAGGTCAGTATTGATAAAGCTGATCCTTTGGCTTTTTTTCCCCTTCCAGAAGGGTTGCATCAACAAAATTAATTGTATTTATGTATGTAAATAGATTTTAAGCTTCATTATAAAATATTGTTAATGCCTGTAATAACTTTTTTCAATTTTTATGTGTTTCAAAGGATTTTTCTTATGTTTGCTAAATACTGTAGAAAAAAATGCTTCTTTCTACTTTATTTTAGACTTAAAAATGAGCTACTTACTCACTTTTGTAAACAGCTATAGCATGGTTCCAATTTTTTTAAGTTCACCTTTTGTTCTAAGGGAAATGAATGTGCAAAAAACAAAAAGAACTGTTGGTTATATGTGTTATTCTGGATGTATAAAAATCAGTGGAAAGAATAAACTTCCAAATTGAAATGACAGTGTAACACATCTATTAAAAACTCAATGAGAAATGCAGTTCTCCTCTGGCCTCCACCCAATGTCTATTTGTGGGGCAGTTAGTGCCTCTGGTCACTAAGCATCCTGGAAATTGATGTGTGGGCATCTTGTTGCCTGGTACTGACATACTGAACCCCTGCTCAAGGGGAGCTGTCAAGTTCAGGTCTTAAATCAGATAAGATATGAGAAAATCTCCCAGAACTCCCTCTCTAAGGTGTTTCTAACTAGCATAGGAAAGCAGGCACTCCACCGTCAGTCCACTGTGCACAGTAGGGGTGGGCAGCCACCTTTCTCCTGGGAGGATCTATCATGCCCAGCCCATCAGGACAGCTGGGCTGCTGTTGCCCAGGGGCTATTGGAGCCTTACTTTCTTTGTACCACAGTTTATTCTGTAAATCCAATATTATAAGTAGTGTGAATGGCAAATAAACAATTAGATAAGAACTTACACCATATCAAATTGGTTGTGTCTTTCTCTGAGATGAATGGATGGCTGGGACAGTAAGCAAAGCCCACTGCAACACGCTATGAAAATACTTTCCATACATAAATCAAGCCCAAATGCCTCCAGCAACCCTGGCTTCTGAAGCATGATGGCCTGGAGAAGACCCAGGCACCCAGGGCTAAATGAATGTGAAGAAACTCAAAAGCATATTTAAAAAAAAAAAAAAAAAAACTACTACACAGGATTTACCAAAATGATGTGAAATGGCCTCATATTTGAATCTGAGGCCAGGAACTCTGGTCTGCCTTCACTTTTGTAAATAACAGGCATCAGGCTGTGTAGTAGTTGGGAGTTTTAAAGAGAGACTCTTCCCTCACCACCACCAACTCAATGTAAAGTGTTACTAGCAAGTTTCAGTCTCAAAACTGTGTGACTCAAGTCATCTTCTTGCCAAGAATCACCATCTAAAGCTTCTTCAGACTCTGTCACTACCACCTCCTGGGACTTATGACTGGCCTTCAGTGGTCTACCAAGTGACAACAAAAAAATACCAGGAATCAAAACTAGTGTAGTCGGGGCTGGGGATTTAGCTCAGTGGCATAAGCGCCTGCCTTGCAAGCAGGCAGTCGTGAGTTTGATCCCTGGTACCGATAAAAAGGAAAAAGACAAAAAAAAAACTAGTGTAGTCAACAAGAAAGGATCCAGCCTAGGAAGTCATGGCCCAAAAGCCCAGAAAGGAAAAAGTTGGTAGGATATCTGTGCTCTAGGAAGAAGAAAATAGACACTTGGCAGGCAAATGTTTGATTACTACTGTGAGTAGCAGTGTTTTAAACCTTAGCACCCAGGAATTTTTGTAAAATCTTGATCTGAAGAAGAAAATAACAACATTTGAACCTGGCTAGTTCTGTTTGTGAAGTTTCTCTTCTGCAGTCTTACCCTTTTATCTCTCCCCTTTCCATATAGTCCTTTTGGAAAAGAAGTCTTTCAGTCCAAATCAAAAGTATCCCTGTCCCAAAAAAAATCTCATGTGCTCAGAAGTAGGGCCTTCAGAAGGTGACTGGATCACAAGGGTTTCAAAAGTTCCTCAGTGAATTAACCCACTGATGAGTTCCTAATGTGATAGTATATTGAGAGGTAATGGAAATTTAAAAATGGAGTCTAACTGAAGGGAGAAATCAGGGGTGTGACGTGGGAGCTCTTTCTTGTCCATTCTTCTCTTGCTTTTCACTCCTCTCTGCTTCCTGGCTGTCCAAACTAAGGAATTTTTTTCCTCCATCGAGCCTTTCCATCACAATGTTTCTGCCTCAGAACCAGCCAACTGTGGCCTAAAACTTGTGAAATTATGAGCCAAGATAAATATCTCCTTCCTTCAGGTTTTCTTGAGTATTTTGTCACAGCGATGAAAAGCCAACTAACACATAGTTACTTATGCACAACCCACTCTTAAGAAATGGAGAATTTTCACCTCCCTTCAGGAGCCTCGAGAACATTAGCCTTTGAGAACATTAGCACAACCCCAGAGTCCTTGAGGGTGCAGGAGGCCAGGTGCTGCCTTGTGTGAAAAGTTTTGTACTAAGTCACAACAGTAGCCTAGCCCCGTTGTTCCCGCCTGAAGAATCCCAAAGTTCAAAATGCTTGTAGTTCTGTATTACACGGTTCCTTGGCCCAGCCACTTGGGTCTTGCACAAGGCCCAACTTTTCCAAGCACAGTGCCCCTCAAACTAGACAGCACAGATAAAGACGTCTCTACAGTATTCAAATGTAACCAGAATTCCATGACGTCACCATCATTATTGTTTTTGTGTTTGTGGTGGCAGTAGTGGTTGTGTTGTTTGGGAAAATTGGCTGAGCTTTGCCTTGGGCCTCACAGAATTCTCCACGTCTTTGTTCAAAGTGAGTTCACTTTGTGCTCATGACAACCCTTCACTGGCTTCCAGATCCCAGATCCCAGATCCCAGATCCCAGATTCTTAAGGGAACTCAGAAGGGAATAAAGAACTCAGATATATTATTATTTCTCCCCCCTGAGGTTTCTCAAAGGATCTTCTTCCTGACCAATACCGTAGAACAAACAAGATCAGGTGCATTCATGGTGGTATGGCCACAGACTAAGAGAGAAGAAAAAATTTCCCATGTTCTCTTTGTTTTTAACCAGGAGAGGAGATGACGTGGAATGTGTTGTGACTACGCCAGTAGGAGGAGAGCTAGCTGTCTGCCAAATTTTAATATTAGTAATTAAATTTTGCATGCCTCAAATTCTCCTTCTAGTTTCAATTTCACTGATGCTCTTGTAAGGATTAATTAATGTTTTGAAAGTATTTTGAAGATGAAAAGTCTCACATGCACACAAAGTATGATTATTTGCTACTACAAATAGCTGCACTCGGCCATTTTTTCCCCTCTCACCTGAGTGATTCTGGGAGGGCTTCAGCAGGCAAGTAAAAGCTGTCGGGTTTCTCTTACAAAGTGACTCCTTTCACCAAAAGTTTAATATTCCTTCATTGATGGGTTCATTTATTCATGAATGATAGCATGGGGCATCTCAGGAGGTTTTCTCCCCACAGACCAGGCAGACAGGCAAGGCCACCCTCACAGGCCGCACTCTCCGGAAAGTCCACACTGCTCTCATTGTTCTTCTGTTACCATCTTGAAATTATGAGTAACTTTTTAATAAGGGGCCCAGCATTGTCATTCTGCACAAGACCTACATATTAGGCAAATTAGACTACAGGCAGTCTTACAGAGTGGTAAACAAACCACCAAAGTCTAGTGTGAGGGGCCACAACTGAGGAATAAAAAACCCCAAAAGTACCGATGAAACGCAACCTGAAAATGTTGGGAAAGGCATTACTGTACCAATGTCATTTGCTTTTAAAAGACAGAAGTCATCGTCATAAGAAATAGAAGTAGAGCATGAATCAATGGTACACTTTGTTTCCAAGGGATCGTGGTAAGATGACACAGTTGGTATTGAGCCTGAAGCTCACTTAATATGCCTTTGGGCAGAGATGTATGAAAATGTGAGAAGAAGCAAATAACAAGCTTCCAGTCAAAATAATAACAATTTACCAGGATGTAATAAAGGGACAGTTCTCAGAGACATTTCTGTCTCAAACACCATGTATACACATCTACGCATGTACGCACTGGTGTGCACGCACATGCTCATACCATTAAGTCAGCTGCTTAGTGTGCCAGGCCAGCAAGGTCAAGGCCATGTAAGCCACTGAATGTACTGCGCTAAAATGACATAAAGATAAGATTCTGGATTCAAATCCTTGTAAAATCCCACGGGCTTTGCCCTAAATCATGGCATTGCCTCTCAGTTTAGGTTTGGCTCTTAATCACAAACCAAAATCCAACATGCCCTCAATAGTTGACTCTAGAAATATTCTTGCATTGGATCATCACATGAATGAAAAGAAGAAAGAAGCAAAGTTACTGATATGGCTTGAATTTTGTCCCTCAAAAGTCTTAATGTTGAAGTTCTAACTCCAGAACCTCAGAAGGTAACCCAGCTTAGAGAAGAATCCTTAAAGATATAATCAGATAAAATGAGATTCTAGTGGATTAGGGTAGATCCCTAATCCAATATGATCATCATCACTACAAAAAATTAAATCTGAACTCCAAAGCATGAACACAGGGAGAACACTGGGAAGATGGAAGCAGAGACAGGGTAAAGAGTCTGTAAACCAAGACTTTAGTGAACTACCCAAAGCCCAGGTTGTGTGGGAGTCCTTCACCCGGACCCACACTGATGCTGACCAACGACTCCCCTGTGCCTTATTCTCCTGTGTGGTACAGCACCTACTACAGAGTTGATATGTGAATGCAAGCACCATGTTTATGACCAAGTTTATTTCCCAAAGAAAAGTTCCGTGGAAAGGGGCATGATCCCAACATTTCCTTCTCAAACCTTCAAGGTGGATTTTTCTACATGGTGATTCATAAGAGCTTAATCCTGTTTGGCTTGCTTTTGTCACCCAGCACCCATTTCCCTGTCAGTCAGCATGCACTTAGGGAATGCAAATGAAATACCATGTTAAAGCAACACATAATTCATAGGGTAAATTGACTGATGGGAAAAGAAACAAGAAGCTTTGAACATTGCCTGCTACATTATGCGTGCCCTAAAACTGTGAGCTATTCTTAGTCATTAATTCACTCAAAAGCTATCTGCCGAGTGCTCTGTCTCTCTGCTCATGATTCCAAAGTAAGACCCAGGCCATGCCCTAGAGTAACTCTCCTTCTCCCTCAGACCTAGCTCCAAAGGAATAAACCACATCTCTAGTGGGGAGGACTTAACAGCCTGGAGAGATACAGGTGCAGACATCTAATGAACTACACCCATGGCAACAGCTCTGCCACCAATGGGTCAGTCAAGCCACCATCGTAGTTGGTAGATACAGCAGAAAACGGCTACATCCAGTACTAAGAGATTCACACCCCAGGCCCAGCTGAATACTCATTTCTCCAGGAAGTACTGGTGGTACCTACTCTGTGCCAGGTACCTGCCAGCCATGGAAGAC